TATATTAATTAAAACGCTAAGAAAAGGTAAGGTATACGTAATTAAGCTTATAATTACACTCTTAACACTTAAGTAAGTATTTAAATAAGAAAAATAATACTTATAATAGCTTTAATAATAAGCTTAATTAAAGGGTATATTAAAATAAGTTACTTATTATAAGTATAAATTATATACGCTTAATTAAATAAGAGTAAACCCTTAATTATAAGTAAATAACCTTAATAATAAGCGCACTTATAAAAAGAGCATATACGATTCTCTCTTTTATAGCTAAACATAGACTTATATATATACATTATCGTTATAATTGGTGCCCTCTAAAGTGTGACAAGGCTGAACTAACTAGTGATGGGGCACAACATGAAGTTACATTGATATAAAGACATACCCGATCCCACGAATCTATCAGCACCTCGCTTTCCTTCCCTACTCTCGGTTTCACGGATTTTTGGGGAATCGAGAACGAACCACGACATTTGAGAGACGTATGGTAATACCTTGGATGTGAATAATATGCCCAGAAATGGACAAGAACCCAACCTCGGGATAGACTTCATTGTCAGCTCTCCAGGGAGGGGAACATTGTGAAATGTCTTCACTTAGAGTTTGGTCTGGAAAGTACCATGAACTACGAAAAAGAAGACCTTTGTATTCAAGATTTGCCGTTAAAGACGCGGGGAACTTGTGATTCTGGCTAGCCCAACTGTTCTAGCACGCCTAACCCATATGAGAATGACCCGAATACAGAATAAGTACATGAAGAACCACGATGCCCCTCGAGGTATCTTGTATGAGATCCCCATCCTTGCTTTTCCCGAGTGAATTTTTCACGTTAGGATATTCTCATCACCACGACAGACGCCATGGTTTTCTTGACGGCGCCCATCACTGCCTTGCTAGCAGGCATGGCGTCTGCCAGCCCAGCAATATCTAGTCAGTCTGGAAGAGGCATGCGGAACACTACCTCCCAAGTTGCTGCTGCCGGTTCTGATTTCTGGTACGCCAACATGGACCACTCTGGAAACGCCCGCGGTTACGCTCCGGATCTCGGGAACGATTACTCTTATGATGTCTTCAAATCCGTGAGTGCTGGAGACGAGGAGCAATCCAAGGTGCTATTGACAGCAACAATGGCAAACAACGTCGATCCAATTGGTAGGCTTCTCAGCCAAGGCCCAAGAGTGCGTACTCCCGAGACAGGGAAAAGACTCACTACTAGCTTAGGATTCATGAGACTGATACAGTGTGCGACTTAGGTCGTATATCTCCCCTCTGAGACATATGAAGTTGGCTCGCAAATTCAGCTTCGCGTTGAAACTATTCCAATGGGAGACGCTACTAATGTAAGTTGATATTGTCATTGTGGTACAAGACGATCTTTCCCGGCTGACTTGTCTTGTCTGTCTTCTATCAGCCCCCTACTATCAAGGCGTCCTAAAATTGGCAAGAAGGGCGAACGCTCGTTAATGGTACGTCTGTCCCAACAACTCAGCCAGGGAAATAGTTGACTGACAAATTGATGTTTTTTTCTTACCAGGCTTGGATCCGCGCACTGAGGAGGTACCTAAGGATGGCAAGCTCCATGGCGAGCTTTCATTTACAGTTGGCTTGAAGAGCGTGGTTTTGGACACCAAAAATATGGACGGAAGTCAGTCTACTTCAACCTGGCACTCCAAAGACTATGACAAAAGACCAGGTCACGAAATAGTTTCCACGGATGATACTGATACATGATAGGCTCGGACCTCAGCGCCGTCAACTGGCGTGTCGCTCAAGGCGCACATATGCAAAATGTCAGGATTGTGATGCCGACATCTGGCCCTACTGGTGGCCACACTGGTATCTTTGTCGGACAAGGCTCTTCCCTTGGCGTCTCTGATGTGCGAGTTGAGCGCGGCTGGAACGGCATCTGGCACCAGGCGCACCAGCAAATGGCCTACAAGGACATTGAGTTCTTCCAAAACACCCGTGGCATGCGAATTAGCGGAGGGAACGTCGTCACCATTACCGGCTCGACCTTTGATGCCGTGTACAAGGCCGTTACGCATGACGGCGGCTGTCCGTGGATAGCAATGGTGGATTGCAAATCCATCAATTCTGAAGCTAGCTTCTCGACCACGCAGTATTCATCTATTCTGATTGACAATCTGGAGAGGGACGACGACAGAACAGTTGTTGAGTGGAATAACGAGACTTTTCTTAACAACACCCGACACGTTGACCAGTTCACTTATGCCAACACTTATAGCCAGCGTCCTGTCTACGGCCCAAACAAGGACGGCTCCAGCAAGCGTCCGGGTGCCCTTGTACAAGGCGGCAAGTACCTATCCATCGTCGCGCCCAATTACGCCGACAAGACCACATCCGACTTCATCAACGTCAAGGACCCCAAGCAGAACGCCGATAGACTCCCCGGAGCCATCCTCACCCAGGTCAACATGGCTGGAAACGCGGCGGGAGACGTTGCCATCTGGAACTCCATGATTACCTTTGGCGGCACCGCAGGGTCGGACGGCATCAACAAGAACTGCTACGACAACAACGACGAACGCAAAGGCGCCCTCTTGGGCCTGCACCTCAGCAGGTCCTCGTCCGCCTACGTCGAGAACGCCTGGGTCTGGGTGGCCGACCACAACTCCGAGGGTGGCGGCGCCCTCGTCCAGGCCACCAAGGGCACATGGCTACATGCCCTGGGCAGCAAGTTTGAGGAGCATAAAAGAAAGAAACAGATGTGTTTTCAGTCTAAAATGGAGTCTGTTGTACAGAAAGTGTAAAACTGCCCAACTCGGATCACGGCCATTTCCCTCTATTCAGTGAGTACAGATTTTTTTCATCAGGGGCTTTTTTGTTTCCAGGCAGTGCTCGATGGCCAAAAGTAGATACCAGAAGCGTTCGCCAACTTGGGAACATGGCTCTGTACGCATGATGATACCAGCCATGCACGCTGACCGTAGGCCTCGCTCGTTGGCTTATATATACAATTCAGTCTTCTGCTGGCACCAACAATCAAAGCAACATTACCTTGCGTACAGACCCTCATGCGTCGCATTCAATCACAAGCTGCAAGACATGATGACGGCGCAACAGACGTCTACCGGCCCGTTCAGCCCCTTGCGTCTTTCTACAGGCACTGTGCACCCGTTCCACATCTATGGCACGGCGTTTAAGGAAGGCCGAACGGGTGAGTTGACGGCCTTGGCCCTTAGAAAGGGCTTCAGGGGACTCGACTCAGCCAACTACCCTTCTGCATATGAAGAGGCCGCCGTCGGGGTTGCCATCGAGGAGGCGGTGAAGTCGGGCGTCAAGAGGGAAGACCTATTTGTAATACAACACCAACAACCCCCCCTTAGACCTCGTGGAAGCAACATTGACAAATGGGGAAAAAATGTATTTTCCATCCAGGTACAAACCAAGTTTACTCCCATGTGGGCGCACGCCGAGTCGAAGCTCCCGTACAATGCCGACCAGCCTTTGGAGGAGCAGGTGCGCGAGTCGATTGAGCAATCTTTCCAGAACCTAAAAGTCGACTACATCGACGCACTTCTGCTCCATGTGCCGTTCCCGGACGAGCAGGATAACACGGCCGCGTGGCGCGTCATGGAGAGCTTCGTCCCGTCGCGGGTTGGCGTGTTGGGCGTATCCAACTTTGGCCGTGCCGCTCTTCAGAAGCTTTACGCAGCGGCCACGGTCAAGCCGGAAATCGTACAGAACCGGTTCCAGGCGGAGAACGGATACGACGGCGAGATTCGCGAGTACCTGGGCACGACGGGCGTCGTCTACCAAGCATTCAGCCTGCTGAAAGCCAACCGCGAGATTCGCAGCTCGGAGCTTGTGGCTCGTGTCGCTGAGCGCTTCCACACCGAGAGGGAGACTGCCTTCTACGTGCTAGTACTGGGTTTAGGAAGGGTGTCTATTGTGAATGGAACCACCAGCGAGGCGCACATGGAGATGGACCTGGCCAAGATTGCAGAGCTCCTGGGGGACCAACAGGCCGTGTCCGACCTCACGGAGTACCTGGTGGAATTCAAGCAGCTTCTCCGCACCAAGTGATCTGTTATCAGACGGGGTAGAGGAAGGAGGGCGGTGGTAGTTGTCGAGGAGCAGGGCTGTTTCTGGATGAACAATGCCACCACTTGCCGCTGTGTAAGCCTACATGAAATCTGTCGTGCCTCGTGATGGGGGTGCATGTCTCATGCGCAAGTTGCGGCTGGATTGTCCTGTGGCTGCATGGCGGGCCAGAACGATGCCTGTATAGAACGCTGTAGATGATTACTCGTATGTACGTTATGGTGTCGCGGACGGCGTCTCATGAGATGAACCTACAGATATATGCAACATCAAGTGGCCGTGGGTTTGAAACCCCCGGTCTCTTCTCGCCCGCCGACGCTGCCCAACTACTCTGTATGCCACGTTGCTTTCCATCCTCGTCTTGTTTTCTTTCTTTTCATCTCCCGTCCGGGCGGGTAGCCTTTTCAATAGACGCTGATATACACATGTATTGTTGCAATTCCATGCCTCGGGTGTCGCTCGGTCAATGCTACAGCCAGCTGCAGAGGTGAGCATCTTGTCACCGCGGCCAGTCCGTTCAGCAAGAAACGAGCAGTAACAACATGCCAGAGGGGCTAGTAGGACGGGCGTTGTTCCGTTCTTCATCTTCTTCGTCACTCTCGGCACGACAATCTTTGATGCCGCGCGTGTGCCGACTCTGGAAGAGGCCGTCTGCCGCATCCTCGCCAGCGACGATTGCAGACATGACGGCACTGCGCGAACACGTCTTGCCCGCATCAACGGGTGGATAGAGTTTGTCACGGCGATGCAAGGTGTGTGGATGGCTCCTTGCACACGCGGGCTACTAACCAAGATGCGGGCAAAACAGGCGTCCTTCTCACACTACCGTACGCCTGGCTGGCGGATAGGACGAACAAGAAGGCGCTTCTCTTCATCGGGCTGGTCATGTCGGCCATGTCCATGGTCGCCTTCTTTGCAATATGTACGCTGCTTGTTCCATGTGCCCTGGCCCC